AGTCCCCAACAAGATATGCTTTAAGTGTTTTAATTCAGGTTACCTCCTTGGAAGTATGTAAAAATGTTTATTATGCTTAAACGTGTACTCTATTTTAAGCTATGGTATTACATTATGGGGGACAGCCACGGATGTCCACAAAGTTTTTAAAAACAAAAGTCAATCATCAGAACTCTTGCAAATTGCCCCCAAAAAAAACATAATGTAGACAATTGTTTAATTTTTTTAAAATTTTAACTCTAACTTCAATATACGTTTTTGAAATTTAAAAAATGGTTCATGGAAATCCTGGAATGTTTCAAAATTATCTTAGTAATCACTCATACCCAAAGACAAGACATTTTTAATACCCCACTCAATCTAATAGGCCTACTATAAATCATATTTTACTCAGACACATTTATATATTTTAAGTTTATATGTAGAAGTTATATTTTCTTTTATATGAGCCATCACAATTATCTTCAAATAAAAAAAAAACCTTTCAGCTATCAAACAGTTTGAAAAGTTAAAATCTTTTACTTTATATGGCCAGCATAGCATAGAATTACAGTCAAAAAGATCTTAAATCAAAATTGTTAAAATAACAAGTTTATGATTTCACCTACATCATTCAGCCTCATACTAAAGTTTTGATTGCAAAAAGCCCTAACTGGTCATGATTTAGCAGGCATAAAAAACGCACAAACTTACTTAATTTTGATAAATTTGACTGGTAATAGAACTGGTTATGAGGAAATACATTTAGTTACGATTTTTGATGATAAATCATCATAGAAATCTGTTAAGAAGCAGTTAGCCTATGAAACTCTCACAAACAATTCCACATTTGATGCATAAAATTTGAAAAGTGTAATAAACTTGGTTTTATATTTTACTAGGTTGAATGACATGTAACTAAGAGTGATGGGGTTTTTACAAAAACACTACACGTTAAACGGAGAAAGAGGTTTATAATGAGGAAAAATGTAAATGAATGAATGAATGAAAAAAAAAATGGAAATCCTTTATTTAAAAAGGAAAAGTTAGGGCCACAAGACTTGACATGCATACCGTACTTATAAATATATAATAGAAAACATTATTAATTACACAGACATTATTTACAGAAAAAAACAATACTTAAATAACAAAAAATATTTAACAAAAGTGAGTTACACACCCAGTTAGCTATTACACACCTAATAGGTGTCGCGCAATATGAGAATACCTCCAACAGGCCTACTTCAACAACAGATATGGGTTCTAAGAAACCTTGTGGTTCTGACTATGCAGATTAGATTGAACTGATAGGTCATGCAATGCTATATGCAATGTTATATGCAAAGCTATCTGTATTGCTGTAATTCTAAAAGCAATGATCCTAGTGCAACATCCGCTAGGAATAGCAGCACCTGGACCATTTATGCTGGCACGTGCCACTCAGTCGTAAATCATAACTCATAATGGATTTGTGACTCGGGTTAATAAACTGGACCATTGCATTGGCTCCTTTGGTTGGCCTCTCACACATTAATGGTCTTTGAAACCATCTAGGAGGCTTTTGTCTCCACTCGTAAAACATAACGCTTTGCAATAAAAATTTACTAAACATTAGTTTATGAATCCTTTGTTTAGGTTATGTATTTGTCGTTTTTAAAGTTTGCATATTTACCATTGACTTATAACAATCATCATCTACTCTCTAAAGAAAATTTAGTGTAGCAGCAATTAGCACATGTTTTATCACCAACAAATTCTAATTAATTGTGAGTGGTTTGGATAAGCGGTTTGTGATTCTAATTAATGCAAGCGACTTAATACAAAACAATGGTGGTCAACTTTAAAAATTAAGAATTTGTTTTTGTTATGTATTTTTAAAACTTAGTAGGCTTTTGTGATAGTTTTTTGCCAAGTCGTGTGAAGCATCTATTGGATTAACAAAACCATTGGCTATAAAACTAAATCATTAGCTGACAGTTAAATATTGGTTGTGGAAAATGCACTGATTGTTATATAACTATTATTCATTTTGAGCCGATGTATAAGAAAATTGTGCATTATTATTATCATCAAAAGGCGGCTTATTCAGTCATTTAAAAAAATTGATTGTAGTTTAAGATAGGCTACATTTAGTTTAATACTAACTAAAATCACTCTAGCTTTAAATGATAATCTATTTGAAGATAATGCTGTAAAATACATTTGGTCTTTACTTTGTTGTATTTTTTTCAGGAAAGCTTTTATTTGTCAAGTTAAATTAATACAACCAGCGACTTATCTGGGTGATGGAGAAATATCAGCTTAGACTCGGACTTTTGAAAGAAATTGGAAATCATCTGGTTGATATCTTCTAGGCATTGTGCTCGTCCAATGGTAAGTTACCAGAAATAATTCTTTGGTTAAAAAGTTTGAATGAGCAGACATTTGTTCTAATTCATAAATTAATCTGGTGCTGGTAGGTGGTCTTGAAACAGCCTACTTGAAGCCTATTTGGAGGAATATGAGCTTTAAACAAAACCTATTAAAGTAGCATCTGGAAGTTTGTAGTGGGAAAGAAAATGAAATACTGGAGATCGGGAATCAACATTGGGCTCCTATTGGCTACTTTCCCCCCCACTACTTTCAAGGTTAAACCCCCTTCCTTTGCTGCCATTATGGGACACTGCGAGGACCAAAGTATTAAAAATTATAACTACTGCTACAAAGATTTTACTGAAAAATAAAACTGGATTGTTCTGTCCTCATCACCTTTGTCCAGTTTAGTTGTAAAAGTTCTTTCCATTTAGTTTTTTCCTAAAATTTCCAACAATACCTGTAAAACTAGAGTTTTAAAGCAATGGGAACAGAAATAAAAGTGTTGGGCGGGTCTAGAAGCACGTTGGCTCCCATTGGTTTCTTTTCCCCCCACTTCTGTCATTGGAATTCCCCTCTACTGCCGTTACGCAATGCTTTGTGGTACAAAGACGCTCAGTCGTCAAACCGCTGCGTCTCCTAGCTGTCGAAAAAAAAAAAAATAGTGTACGTTTTCAGTTAAAACTTGTTTTAAATTTGTTCTGCATGTTTGGTTGTCTTTTTCAAGCTTTATTCAATATTATTTTAAGTGCGGTGTGCATTTGATATGGATAGTAATGAAAATGTGTATACATGTATTTAGCAAAGATTCTTTTACTAGGCCTATGTTTACATCTTGGGTGGCGGGCGTGGCAGGATCTGTATTCTTCATTACCAGTATTTTTCTTTATGCTCTCAACATCACTAGTAGAAATTCACAAGAAGCAGCATTTAAAAGTATAGATTTTGTTTCGGGTATGGTGTTTTAAGTTGAGTTTTACTTATGTTTTGAATGTCATTTGTGGTTTTAAGAATAAAGACCATCTTTGTCAATCCCAACTATCTTTGTCTTCTACCACTAGAAATTTACAGGCTGCAGAATTAAAAAGTCTACTATAGGTTTATCGTTATGGTTCAGTTCTTTGAATAACTTATTTAAACTTTGACAATCATTATCAGTGTTAAGCCTAGTCTACATTGGCTACCATGTCTGTGGGAATGTATAATGGTGGATTTAGATTTTATATTCAGAGAGGCATCTTCTATGGTAGGTAGCACGGTCACCTAAAACTGTATTTCTTAAAAATTGATTTTTGGAATAATCTTGTTTTGATTTGAATTTTTAAATAACAATTAGAGTTAGGTTAAAATTATGGATGGGCAGGAATGTATTTTTAATTCAGGAAACAAATGACAAAAAAATTTGCACAGGGTGTCTACCAGTCGGGAATTCCGGGAAATTCGGGAAAAAGTCGGGGATTTTGAAAGGTCGGGAAAAGTCGTGAAAAAGTCATGAATTTCGGCCGAAAGTCGGGAATAATCTAACCTTTCAAAATTAGGGATGAACGGGTCCCAAAACTTTAAAACAAATTCTGGATCTTATATTCCTGATCATTGGGACGGGATTACATTGAAGGGGTGTGGATGAATCGAAAATGCATCGGAATTCCAATTTGATTCAGTGATGATCAAAATAACAATTTGAATCATGGGCATTCAGTATCCATATACGTTATTGAATCAGTATCCAAATAAGTTTTTGAATCAGTATCCATACTTTATTGAATCAGTATCCATATACGTTTTTGATTCAGTATAAATATACGTTTTTGAATCAGTATCCATGTGTTATTGAATCAGTATCCAAATACGTTTTTGAATCAGTATCCATACATTTTTGAGTCAGTATCTATATACGTTATTGAATCAGTATCCAAATACGTTTTTGAATCAGTATCCATATACGTTATTGAATCATTATCCAAATACCTTTTTGAATCAGTGTCCATACGTTATTGAATCAGTATCCATATACGTAGTTGACTGTTACATTGATAGTGTTACTTTGACTATCAGTATCCATATAACTTATTGACATTATTCAAATGATTGACATTAATTATATAAGTTATTCACTGAGACATTGCTTAGCCATACAAGTTATTACCCTCCAAGTACATGGCATACACTGAAACATTGCTTAGCCATACAAGTTATTACCATCCAAGTACATGGCATACACTGAGACATTGCTTAGCCATACAAGTTATTGCCATCCACGTACATGGCATACACTGAGACATTGCTTAGCCATACAAGTTATTACCATCCAAGTACATGGCATACACTGAGACATTGCTTAGCCATACAAGTTATTGCCATCCACGTACATGGCATACACTGAGACATTGCTTAGCCATACGTTATTGCCATCCACGTACATGGCATACACTGAGACATTGCTTAGCCATACAAGTTATTACCACCCAAGTACATGGCATACACTGAGACATTGCTTAGCCATACAGGTTATTGCCATCCACGTACATGCATACACTGAGACATTGCTTAGCCATACAGGTTATTGCCATCCACGTACATTTCATACACTGAGAAGACATTGCTTAGCCATACAGGTTATTGCCATCCAAGTACATGGCATACACTGAGACATTACTTAGTCATACAGGTTATTGCCATCCACGTACATGGCATACACTGAGACATTGCTTAGCCATACAGGTTATTGCCATCCAAGTACATGGCATACACTGAGACATTGCTTAGCCATACAGGTTATTGCCATCCAAGTACATGGCATACACTGAGACATTGCTTAGCCATACAGGTTATTGCCATCCACGTACATGGCATACACTGAGACATTGCTTAGCCATACAGGTTATTGCCATCCACGTACATTTCATACACTGAGAAGACATTGCTTAGCCATACAGGTTATTGCCATCCAAGTACATGGCATACACTGAGACATTGCTTCGCCATTCATGTTATTGCCATCCAAGTACATGGCATACACTGAGACATTGCTTCGCCATTCATGTTATTGCCATCCAAGTACATGGCATACACTGAGACATTGCTTTGCCATACCGGTTATTGCCATACAAGAAGTTATGTATACCTTGTAGTTCTGATTCTATCCTCTTATTTATCAATGTAAACCAATTGAAAGATTCAGTATTTAAATCTTACAAAGGTTTTTATTTGTTTACACCCAAACATATCTTTATTTATAATCAATAAAATAAAATAGGTAACATGCTTAACAACATGATGCTGCAAGTAAAAATTATGAAATAGGCAAGAAGCTCACTGATATTTCCAGAAATACTGGTTCTTCTAATGTATGATTGAAAACAGATATTGTACTCCACTGACAAGTATGAATAGAAAAATTCCATGTTGCTTCGAATCGAGTTACATCAACATTTTTTTAAATCGAATAGTTGCTTTGAATTGAAATGTTTTGCTGCTTCACACACCCCTACATTTAATACGGGATTTTCTCGGCATGTGATTTGTTTCGATCGTCAGTGATTTCGCTGTGTCGCGAGTGATCGCGAGACGGAAAAAGGTGTAGTAACATGGAGAACGGACCCAGTTTTTGGTCGGGATTTATATAAAAATGGTAATGAAAAGTCGGGAAAAAGTCGGGAATTCCATTTGAGAAATCTGGTAGACACCCTGTTGCAGCCCTTGTTGCACTTTTCTATAAAATACATATTTGGTGCAATTTAACTGTGAGACATCAGTCTTATAAAAAAAACAAAAAAAACACTAGCTAATCTCAGTCTGGTTGTTTGGCAAACTATCACAGCGTTTTCAACATCTACAAAACACATCTCAAGTTTCAAAAATCATACTAATTGTTATAAACAAATCATCTGTTCCTCAAACAGGATTGAATATCACAGAAATATTATCTTCAACACAATATTATAACATCGACTTCAAATATCTGACATAAACATCAAACATCATCATCGTCACTCACAATCACACCGAATCGTAAGCATCTCCCATGTTCTTGAAGACATCATCATCAACTGTGATTGTGGCCAAATCACGGAACATCATTATTGTCGCTTGCCACCGAATCCATGAATATCTCTTAATTGCGAGAGCTGGAACAAATCCTCTTCCAAAAGAAAATCTTCAAATAAATGCAATTCACAAAGCTCTAGTATCTATATTTTTCCTAGAAATTTCCTAAAATTGTAGGAAGAAAGTTAAACTTAAGTTAAACTTACTTAAGTTAAACTTACTTAAGTAAGTTTAACTTAACTTACTTACTTAGTTAAACTTTTTAAAAGTTTTAGAGTATTTTTATGACCCTCCAATGAAATTATGGGGGAAGGGCTCTTAGTTGGTTTTAGCCTGTCATGAGCTAAAACTGTCATTTGAAACATTGTTTGCAAGTTTGATTCACTTGTGTTTCTGGAGGCGATGAAGTTTAGAGAAAGTTTGAAGTGTGAAGAAAGTCTTTATATATGTTTGTAGGACAGTCTTTTTCTATTTGTTAAAAATAATACTAAATTTAATTCTAATTAACAACCTGTATTAGGTAACATGTTAAGTGGTGGTGGTATGTTGTAAATTTGAAATTATACAAAAGATTGTCACTTACAAAATATAAATACATGTTCTCATCATAGGGATGTTAGTTACAAGTTAATTAGTGAAATAACACAGTTTGTTCCTAGGGAAAATGACAATGAAGAGAGACAGTAGATATTTGAGAAGAAAAGAAGAAGTTAATATCGACTTCACCAAATGTAAGAAACTCATGTCGTCCAATTTGCCCCTTCTTTTTGCAAATGGACAACCTCGAAGCCTGGAAACAATTTCCCAGGTAATAGACAAAGACTATGTCTAACAAAATATGAGTTATTGGGTTTAAGTAACATGGTGTGTTGTGTGTTGTATTTTGTTTACAGATATAATCTGGGACACAATGAGTCGTAGAGCAAACAGACCTTTGGAAGTTAGAAGTGTATTTATACAACTTATTACTTTTCTTGTTCCTAATTTTTAAATATTTTCCTATCAATTATCCTAAATTTTTGTAGCCTGTTTCTTGTTTCCCCTTTTCCATTCTGTTTTCTAATATCTACTTATTTTAACTCTTTTTAGCACTTGAGCAAGCAGGTTTTACTGTTTTTGAGAATGTTGTTTTATAAATCGATGCGGAGATTTGATTTTTGTTACAAAATTGGATGAATATTACTAGTTAATATACTGTTACCTACGTTATTGTTATTAATAAATATTAAGAAAATGAATTGAAATGAAATTGTTACCCAAGCTAACAAAAATCCAATATGTAAGGCTTTTCAATCAAAACATTTTTTTGTGAACTTGTGTAGTTGTAAAAAAATCCTGGTTATCATTTTCAGTAAAAATGTCCTAGGAAAGTAAAAAATGTTCTTATGTAGGAACAAGTTTTTTTGTATCCTAAATGGTTTTTAAAATCAGAAAGTGCGTACTGTTTACTTGAAAGTTTGTTTTGAAAGCTTACAAAAAACATTTTTTCTTAAGATATCTAACTGTAGGTCCAAATTATAATTGACTTTTGCAGCGTACTATAATAGTGTTTGTGATTATAAGTCCTTGTAACATAGGCTATTAATTAACTGTATTATATTGTAGCATAGACTAAGTCATTCTTCCATGCGTAGCTACGGTATCCAAATGATTTGTACAAGAACTGAGCCCTATTTTATATTGAGGTTAAGTTTACAAAATAAAATTGAATCCCTGCAGTTTATTCCTGTCAGTGAATAACGTAAGTTTTGTCCTAGTAAATTTTTTTTTAGCCTGAGTTGGAGGAGTTTGTTCCATTTATGGTGCAATGCTCGCTGGGACAAGAAATTCTCAAATCACCTAAGAGAATCAACAACTGTCCCGCACCTGATTGGTGGCCTCAGGGGCTCCCTTTCAAATTTCCCCTGATTGATCAGTCCGACTGGATTAATGTAAGTGTTAAATTCTACTTCAGTCTGTGAATTTTCTTTATAATCTTGAGAAACTTCAATTTAAAACTCTGAAACCATCTATCTATCTATCTTGTCTCAAATTGTATTATTAATTTTAATTTTTTTTTTATATCTAAAAGATTATTGCGGATGGCTTTTCTGAATTTCTCTCAAGAGAAATATACCATATCGTTAATCAAGTCAACATCGTAGGAAACATTGTAGGAGTATTGTAGCAAAATTGCTGGGTAGTGAACTGGTTTATTGGTAGAATGTAGGGCTTTGGTCTCCGAGGTGCCAATTAAATTCCTGCCAATCACCAATGGATTTGATCTAAGTAATAATCTAACCTAGTCTGAAGCAATGTAGAAACGGTTCCGAGCTAACGCCTAGCGTTCTAGGATGCAAAGGCGGGACAAAATATATTTTTTTTTTATCACCGGTACTTACTGTAACAGTCGCATCTTGCTGATAGCACACAACAGTTCACACTGATTTATAAAAATTTATCAAACAGTTAAAGGTACAGAACATTTAGAATAAAAATTCTAGGAAGTAAGAAAAACAAATATAACCAGTAAAACATTTTGAAAAGATTCAATTTGATAACTTTTGTAATAAAGAGCTTAGTTTTAGAAATGTTTTCATTAAATTGATTCCTTAATACATTACTGCTAATTTTCAGGGAGAGTCAAAGATTGAAAGGTTTTGTTTGACTAAAATGGCAACATCAGTATTTTAATTTTACAACCATTTAAACTTTGTGCATAAAGGTTCTATGACTATAAAATGATCAACCATACTGTACAAAACATTGGTTGATAGAGAATAGTTTGAATGACTGATTAATGGCAAAGCAGTGTGGCTAACTAGTAGGTGAGAAGAGAAAAGAGGGAGGAGGCAAAGTCCGGCTTATCAGCTAAAAACTCCACCGTCTTCGATAACTTTACATCTGCCTGAGTAATACCAGAAAGCTCGTAGGTTGTGTCATTACTGTAGGCTGCATCACAAAACATTTATTTATTACGATAAAACCTTGATTAGGGAAAAATGCTGCGAGTCCGTTTCATATAGGCCCCTAACCCATTTTTACGGTTAATCAGTAGTTCAAATTTAAATGCTGTTTCTAAGAGATATACAACAGTTGTTTTATAAACATGTTTTTAACTACTATTGTCTTAAAATCCACCTCAGCATTTATCAAATGTATTTCTCAAAACAATCAACAATCGTTTTCTGAACTTCTTTATCATGGTATGAGATCCATTACATTCCATTGGTCAATCCAGGCCAACTACCCACGTCATAGCAAACAACTCCTGTTGCTAGCTAATTTCCCAATTCATTAGATCCTTTTACGAAGGTTTCGGTTATCCCGGATTTGGGTTTAACGGAATGTGGTTGAAAATGTTTTAATGAATGTATTTTGCTGGATGCACCTCAAATCCTCAAACAAGGCTTTAACTCCAATCCCCTTTAACACTGAGTCTTACCGTTTCACATTAAGTTTACCATAAATTTACCAGTAAATTTAACTTTGGTCCATTAATGTTAGGTTTTATATATTTTCAGAGATTGGTGATGCTGAAAAGCCTAGTATGCCGCTGTTATACTTATTATAACTGTGAATTCTTGCTTAAGTTCAGTTCCGACCTAGCTGATATACCACCAAGCCAACTGAGATTTGAAATAAACGATGACAATACCACCACCATCTATGACCAAAATGAAGGGATGTTGGTGAAGTGCAGAAATGAAAACCTGGTAAGTTTTTAACTGCTTAGGTCATTAAACTACTATTTTTAAACTTTTTTAGAAATAGTTAAAATATCACCTGTAAAGAATATATGATTCTGAGATTTTTACATTATCTGATAAACTGTACGTAGCCTTTAAAAAAGTCCTGGTGGTTATATCATTGTAAAGCTGAGTAAGTCTAAAAAATCAAAATACTTTTAAATTAATAAAAGGGAGGTAGGCTATAATGAAACAAAAATACAGTTTAACATGTTTATTTTAGTATTTAGTGGTGATATAGTTTGAATATTAACAACCCTACTTAAAATTCGGACTCAAAACAATTGGCCTAACTCTAAATGTATGATATAAATACCCTCACCACTGCAAACCTGCAGATTAATTGAATTTCCATTTGCTTGATTGGATTTTCACTTAAACATTTCTCTAAACATGTCAGATGTATTCCCTATTTAAATAATATTATTTAGTTTAACGAGTATTTAGAGAAGAGTAATAAAGTTTTCCTACAGTCACCTAACAATGTTCTCTCACTGATTTGAGAAAGCAAAGTGGCCAATTCGCTCATCAGTGAGACAATGTTAACATTGTCTCACTCTAATTACTTTGTCTCACTCCAGATTTGCAACGTGAAGGCACAAAATAGTGAGCGTGCAACATGAAGACAAGTTTTTATGTGCGCGAAATACGTTGGCAGCACTGGCTGTAAATCAGCTAGTCAGCTGTTGTACTGTTGTATCATTAAATGTCATAAAAAAGTTCATTTCTGTGTAAAAATATGATACGTTTCTTTACCAAATTATTTGTTTTACGGTATCTGTAGGAAAAATATAATGTGCAACTCGAGTGCAAAGTGCAATTGCCTCACTCGAGAAACCATTCCTCACTCGCCTACGGCTCGTGGGTAAGTATTTCTCTCGAGTGAGTCAATTGCTCACTTTGCTCACTAGTTGCACAAATAACAAATGTTTACTTAAAGTGTGTTTTTAGTTGTTAAGTAAAGTGTTGAATCAGAATCAATACCAATTAATGTTATGCTGATATGTGTGAATAGCATATCTAGTATAAAATAAATTAATTTGCCAAATTTGATCAAAATATATCATAACTACAAATGTTTACTCGTTTTCCATAAGAATAACAAAAATAAATTTTGAATTTACAAATTATTGAATGAGTTGTTTGTATTTCAGAACTATGACCTACACAAAAATCCTCGCCGTTACCTCTCTCCAGCTCACGTAAGTTGATTTTTCACTACTAAGTGTATAACTAGACTCTTATTTATACTACTTGGCTTATCATGTTCTTATCCATTATTCTCATCACCACCACCATAATCAATGATCATAATCATCATTATTTCCTTTCTCTGTTTATAATACCATCATCACTTTACAGGGCCAATTTTATGATACAGCTATAATAAGGCTAATAAAACCAATGTTAAAACTTTTGAAAGTTTCTATCAATAATAATTCACACAATTAGTGTTTAACGCTAGTCTCGGAAGTTGGGATTCTCCAGGGTAACCTTGAGAGGTCCAATACTTCCTTTTGGATCAGCTGGCATAAGAGATCGGCGCAGACACGCTTCTGATCAGCAAGCAGTACCATGACAGAGATCCACATTTTTGGTTCCCAGACTCCTTTGGCAGTGCCGCTTGTTGTATGCAAAACAACATAGAAGCACCAATGCGGGATCACGGACGCAGCCGTGCCTTCGTTTGAGTCAGGTGTAAGGACGTCAGATTTTTCAAGACTACCTTACCCCCAATGAGCCAATTTAGGAATTTCATCCATGAAGATTGAGAGGAAAGTGTTTGTGGCACTTCTGGACATTTTGTCCCTGATGATTTTAATGACTGATAATGACAAAAATTATCAGTTTTTATCAGAGTTTTTATGTGTTTTAAAATTATAATTAAAACGCTGTCGAGTTGGCATGGCGAGGTTGACTACAACCTCATGCGTTCTTGTCAGGTCACGGCTATTTTCAGTCGTACCTGCTTTTGATGGCCTAAGTTTTCACCCGATAGTATTTACTCTCCGGGCGTTCCCGAAGACGCCGAACACACGTTCCAATGTGTTTATCAGACGTGTTCCCTCCTCTTCCTAAAAACAAGTGTAATGTAAGTCTCCAAGGAGTCTATGAACAGGCCCACGTAGTATTTTTCCTCGCTGCCTTTTTTTCTGAATTTTTTATTTCTTATTTTGTAATTTTTAATGGAATTAAACTCATTTATTCCTTTCTCATTTAAGAGTCCTTGGAGTTTAGCGGCTTCTTGGATTATTTCAAACAGGTGCTGAAAAGTTATTTATCATCCAAAAATATTTTTTCAAACCTCAAAGTGGTTATAATTTAAATAGTCTATCTAAGGACACTGTGAGATAAGAATTTTTCAATGTACCGGTAGTTTTAAATTGTTTTCCAAGGGAGTCCATCGAAGCTAACGGCCATCTTGGATTTACCCACCATAAGATGTTAATTTCTTAAATTTTAAACAGCCGCTGAAGAGTTATTTACCATCTGAAAATATTTTGTCTAATACCAAAATTTTAATATCTAGTTCACTGTGAGATTAGAAATTTTCTTTGTAGGCTAGTTTTTGAATTGTTTTATGAGTTAGAATGTCTAGGCTCCAAGGACTCTTGAGGGCATTATGTTCTATTCCTCACAAAGAATTCATAATTAATTAATCATAATTGATTCATAATAATATTTTAAACATGTAACTATTTGTTATATTCATGGGCCAATTCACCAATTTCACCTCATTTCACATCTCCAGATCACATAAAACCTTTTTGTATTTTGGATTTACTGGTTCCTTCAGTGTTTTTCGCTTACCTAAGCCTAACACATCTTTTCTGCAACTAATCCTAATTAGTGGATACAAGTATACGGCTTATTGTACTGGTTGTTTTAAAATGTGTCCAAACCATCAATGAAATTATTGGAAATATTTAATTATGTAATTCTAAAACTGTTAGCGATGATTTGATTTCTAATTTTATGCTTCAGCAGTTAAAACTTAAAACCTGTAGAAGTTGTTTAAAGTTTAATCGTTGTTATTGAATATTTCTGATTCCAATGCTCACATACAAATATCTAAAAGATCTTTAAAATTGTGACCCTGTTTTACAGTAATAAAAAAGTTTCTTTTTATAGCTAAAATTGTGGGAATAACAATAACACTCAATCTATTTTACCAAAATAGACCATTTTTATCAGAGCAAGTACTTTATAGTAGAAAAAAAAATGGTTGAATGGATACAATGGTAAACTATATTATATTTTTAGTGATTTTGACAAAAATAACAAACAATAATGACAGTTTAGAAGCAATCTTTAAGGACCCTGTGTATTTTTAATAGCAACCGTGAGTAAACTGTCTTGAACAAACCTTGAAAATATTATGTTGTCCTTGGTATAGACACACTAGGTTTAAAATTCTTAGTAAGTCACTATTTTAATGGAAGGCCAAGTGGCTAATTAAGGAGTTTTTTGTAAAAGCATAGAGTTCAGCTAGCTTAATTTAACTTGACAAAATTAGGTCCACAATGTTATAGCTAGACAACAAAAAACTCAGTTAACATAATACTGATTATTTGTCCTGGTATAGACTAACATTCTAATACTATATTGAAAAGAAATAACAGTGAACACTTTTTGTCTCTTTGAAAAAGTCCTATATCAGAATCAAATCTGTTATTTTATTTTATTTTTATATTACAGTAGACTCGTGACTATTCGCGAGTGGATTAAACATGAGTGGATTAATAACCACACTGTGGATTAACCTCGAATGCAAAAAAATATATACTTTATGCAAGTTAAATGTACGTTATACAACTACGGCCAATATGTTTTGCTTGAGGAGACCCGACATCTCGAGAGAAGACTTAAGGTTGCCGTTGTTTGCTTCATTGATTACTAGGGATGGACGGGATTGAATTTTTAGTTCTGGACAGGACGGGACGGGATTTTTTCCTGTACATAAAAAGAAAGTCTTGAGTATTGCAGTTACCAAAAAAGACAAACAAAATCAATTTTTATCGCAAGTTAAGCTTACTCTTTTCTTTTTAGTTTCCGAACAAAATATCCTCAAACGTTCTTGAGGTGAGCCCACCATTCATTCAATTCCCCTTTTGTGATGAATACCTTTGAGGTTATAAGAATTAAAGATAGATGTTAAAAATTATCTTAGTCATGAAAATTTATTTTTGCAGGATGATTCGACAGATCCTTCAAACCCTTTTCCTCAAATCCTTCTAGAATTCTTGTTGTCCAACCCTCTAAATGTCCTGGATACCTCAGTGATTTTTATGGAACCAAAACAGCCCACTTTGTGTTACAGATTTCGAATTTAAGAAATATTTGTAATGAAGCAGTAATCGTGATAAATAATAATTTGTGATATTGAAATATTTGTGATAATGTAGTTTTGTTAAAACTAAATAAATAAGATATGTTTTGAAGTTAACATTTTGTTCTACTTAATTTGTACTGCAGAGATGTCAGGTACAGGGAAAACATGCTTTTGGGACGGCCATATGCTTTCAGCTCTAGTATGCTGTGCCGGAAATATACTTTTGACAAGCAAGGAAATATATTTCATCCATCGTAAGCATTGTATTACTGTCATGAGGGGGTGGTGTTGGATTTTGCCCTAGACACCAGCAGCTAATGCTTAACACCACCTAAGTTTACCATTGCCTGTTTCCTCTGTACTTAACTTCTCTATGGTTGTACTTGGTTTTGTTGACTTGTTTTGTGTACAAGCAATTGTTTTTTTATTAGTGTTAAGATATTATAATTTTGGTTGAAGAAACAACTGTTGACTGGTATGGTTTTGTGACGGTTTAAAAATTTTACCTTGTGGTGATAAAAATCTTCATAAATGTGATGTCATGTCCATGTGCGATTTTGTTTGTGTTCAAAATGTTGAATCCTAATTGCTTTTAATGTTAGTGTTACTTACTAGGTTTGTAGAAGTTATTTTAACAATATTGTTCTTAGCATTTAATTTTTAATTTTTATTGTGTTATGGTAAGTTTAACTGACATTTTTTAGTAACATTTTTATTAGTTTTGTCAAACAAATACATCTTGTTAATCCCTTATGACTTGGAGTTAATTGTCATTGTTATTCTCAATAAACATTCTCTTCATTTTTGAGCTAACATAAAGATGTTAGCTCAAAAATGACACACTGAGGAAAGCCTCAGTATGATCCTGAAAGGTCGATAAAGTGTTTCAATTGTTCCTCTGTTTATTGTTGCTACTATATTGTGTCATAAAAGGTATACTTCTAGACTCTGGCAACATTTGTGATCATCTCCAGCAATCACAACACTATCGCGTGATTTCGGTCCTACATGAAAAACGGAACACATTTAATTACTCCTTTCAGGTTTTGAACAGTTCTTTTCATGTTCCGATTTTGCTTACTACCTTGAACAAAGGGGCTGCGGTGGAACCGGCAATTTAAAGGTCTATTTAAGTATGATATGATTTAATCCTAAGCCCTAATATAAATCTTGCCAATTTCTAATAATAAATATCAATTGTATTTGCTGTGGAATTTTGGTCCGTCATTGCTAGCTTATATTCCATTAAATTGTCAGCTTGATCATTCATCTTTGGGAAGTATTTATGGTTAGAGATTGTTTTATAGGTTGTGTTTGCGTTGATGTTTGCTAAGGTTTTCTATGGGGTTTTGGTAAATATTATAACCAGTCCAAAATATTCCATTAGGGTGTTAGGAATCCTTTTAGGCATAGTAATTAGGTATAGAAGTCAGGCTCAAAGTGGTACATTAGCGGATTTTAATCACATTGAAGTTGTTTTAGCATTGATTTAAACTTTTTTACCTATGTTATCATAAACTTTTTGTTGATTATTTTTAGCGAATTTCCTATATAGGGAATAAGCTATTACCGTAGGTCTCATGGTAAGACCTAGACCCGGGACCAATTTACTTTTTCGTTTTGAGGTCCCCAGAGGCCAAAAACACCATCCGTTCAAATTCATATATATATATATATTCATATATATATATATATATATTTATATATATATATATATATATATATTTATATATGTGTCCGTTAGCGCGATAACTCGAGCAAAATTGATCCGATTTTGATGAAATTTGGTACAAACGTGTAAACCTACATTTATTCAAACGAGTTCGCGAACCAGCATAATCGGACCATGGGATCAGGGGTTTATGGGGGGTTTTATGGGGTAAAAATGGGTTTTTCTCATTTTTGACCCTAAAAACTTTAAATTTCTAAATTTCTCTCTAGACCATTTTGAAGAGCTTAAAAAAACAAATAATTTAGTATATTGAAGTGTTTTTGAATGTTCATTGACTACGGAGAAAATTAAAAAAATTGTAAATTTAAAATTCCCATGTTATTCTTATGGAGAATAAATAAACTGTTCTAGTTTGCTTGTTTATGGATATATTTTAATCAAATTTGGCAATTTGGTTTATTTCATACTAAGCTATCAATATTTCAATTGAAAAAACACACCTCAACATCTTCCCCGTAGCAGCAAACCTAACTAGGTACTCACTAAAATTAATGTTATTTAAATAGGAAATAAATCTGAAAATTTATAGGGAATATTTTAGTAGAAATCAAGCTGGGTGAATGGAAATTCGCTTAGTATGCAGGTTTGCTGCGACGGGGGTATTGTTTGTTTCTTGTATGGCTATGGTAGACTTGCAACAAATTATAACAATTCCTGGTATCTTTTGATTATTGATAGAAATATACTTCCTATTCCCTGTGCAAGCTTTAACCATTTGTATAATAAAAATAGATGTTGTAAAATTGAGCCACCGTAAGAGTGTGCTGATGTCAATGATAGATACAAACACTTTTTAACTGAAGCAAAATTGTTGTATGAATAGCCTCGGGATTGCGAAGAGTAACTAATAATAGTGGTTTAAATACCTGATTCCGGAAATTCAATTGTTGCATTCCATAACTAGTTTCGACCTGCTAGGAGGTCATCATAAGGTGTGTACAAGGATAATATGATTACCTACTTCACGTGAAGGTCGACAGGATTAACATTTTTTGACACATAACGTACATACGTACACAAACACATAGCGCACACACACATATGGCCAATAAAATAAAATAGTAAACACGACAAGGGGTGTATGGTAATGCGGAAGTTGAGTCTAGACAATTCTTTTTTTTTTAATTGACAAAATTAAAATACATTCTTATTAGTTATTACTTATATTAATCTATTTTATCAAGCACACCAAGTTAATGTATACAACAAATACATGCTGCACGTGTTATTGTGTGTTTTTGACATTGACAATGTTGAGGAAAAAGAAAGTAGAACAGCTAATTGAATCTGTTAACCAGTAGCAAATCCTGTGTAACAAAAAAAGGTTTTCATTTCTATAATTTAATTTTTTAATCACTCATTCCATAAACCCCATTTTTGATTGGGTAATCAAAAACATATAATCGCAATAAACAAAATATAACATGACAGTGTCTACTCGTGCCTAAAAATTTGTAAAATATTGCAAGTGTTGATAAAAACAGAATCAACCATCTTAAAACTTTAAGCAAGTATTTGAAAAAATTATTTTCCGAAGCAGCAGATACTGGATTGCATCGAACCGCTTTGGTTTGGTCACTAACATCACTGTTGGTTTGAAGCCAGTTGTTATTGGTGAAGCAGGTCATCCAAACATAACGCATTATGGGAAATGTGTTACACAAAATCGTTACAGAATGGAAAGGATTTTTATAGGATATACAGGATAAGATAAAGATGATGGTAAACGGGCATTATGTTGATCTTATATATAGTTTCAGTTTGTTCATGTTCTGTTTAAATTGTACCATTAACTCCTATATATACCTTGTGATTTAGACGTACCATCATTTTATATTTAAATACATTAATTTTTAAATCTTTTGTTTCATTTAATTAAATTTCCTTTGTATACCATTTTTTATCCATTTCACTGGATCAAGTTTCCTTGTTCTTGTTTCTGCCTAAAATCGTTTGATGGTTAGTCAAGTCACTAAGTGTATGTATACTCAATATTTAGTCTTATATTGTATGAATTGCTTTCATAAAAGCACCTTTTCAGTGGAATGTTGTGTGTTGATCAAATGTAGCAAGTCATTGGAAATAATCTCTCCCTTAAATTATGTAGCTTTATTATTTGCTTTCATCCATATATTCCCACGTACAAGACTTAAAACATTGATTTGCTAGATTTACTAAATAAAGTACATGAAATAACTATCATAACCCTTATATTTTTGATGTTGCAGTTGGCTTTAGTGAGTAAGAAACGCTAGTTTTGTAATTTTGGGATTAGTATTACTCATCACTTCTTTTAGGGTTGGGTGAGTAGTGGTTTTTATTTTTGAGTTAAGTCAAGCATTTAACCCTTTCTCATATTTACTCTTATAGCTACTGGATAAGTTCTATAATTTTGATTTGAACCAAACCTGACTTTTTTGGGTTTATTAGATTAATATTGCATAAAAAATACAACCCTGCTAATCCGTCAACTACAGGACCGGACCATAGTCAGGACAGTGTAAAAGATCAGATTATCCGAGGAGCATATTAAATGATCAAATTAATTGACATATGTTGACCAAAGACAGACCTTTAATATTTTGCCACAAGGAGATGATAATGATGTTTTCGTGACCACGGGAGGTATTCATGGTTTCCCATGATCGCAGGAGACGGCGGTGATGTTTCCTTTACCGCAGGAGATATTAAGAGAATGCTGCAATCTTAATATCAGATAACGATACTTAATGTAATCGCGGGAAACGATGACGGTGTTTCTTTTATCGCAGGAGATATTGAAGAGTTGCAGCCATTGCAGATAGACCCCTAACAACGATTGCAGATAGTGTCACTATCACCGAAGATTATGATTTTTTTCCGTGACCAGGGAAGACGTTCAATATTTGTTTTTGCCGCAATTGCCACAGACAGTGATCATCTCCACACGACCATGATCAATAGTCACATTAACGCGATACTATTGTCTCCAATAGGCGATGGCACAATCAGATTAAGTGAAGAGTCCGACTAGCCGAGGTCAGACTAGAGAGATTCTACTGTTAACAGCAAAATACCCTTGATAAAACCCGACAGAAATATTCCTTAAAATTTCCTTTGATTGATCCACAAGGATGAAAGAGTACGTTTAATCGATAGTTAAGTAAACATGAAATACTAGACCCTCTTGACTCAGCCTTAAGTATTTACCACAAATACTCACCCAAACCTTAACATTTAGCTAGAAATAACTACTCTAATTATATGTGCACAAAGGTAAGATTATTTTCTAATTAACATAGTATTAATGCTTCTTAGTTAAATATGTTTGTTGTTTTTATTTTAGCGCTCATCCTTAAACCAGGCTAAAAAGTTTGAGTCTGTCATTGATCTAACCTTCGATACTTCTTCTGAAGATGAAAAGGAAGTGTATTTTAAAGAGGTCAGTTTATCTTATTGAGTAGATTACATGAGATGCCAATGCCGTGGACTTGGTGATGTCTTGTTTGCTTTCCGTAAATCGTAGGCCTAATGCTTTCTTAAAACTGTTGTGGTGGTAAGTAAAATGTATATTTATCTCCATAAAATACTATCTAAATTATGTACCTACTTCCTCTTGTCTTTCCAAAACCTTGATTGAAATAACTATTGAAGATGCATTGAATAATAGCTAAGCTATTGAATAATAGGAGAAAGAGAGTTTTCCTAGTAGGGCTGAAGTTTGAAGCTCAAATATTTGTATATTTTCAAACATTTATTATTTCTTTTGTTATACTTGTGTATCCTTTTTAATATCCACATGTTTCGTTTTACCCAAAGTTTGTTAAGTTTCTTCTCAAAAAGAGCAAAAGGAAACAATTAAAATAGGATATTCTAACTAAACTTAGACAGTTATTGTATGCTACGCAGTTATGGCAAGTACTCTGCACAGTTTCACGTTTTATCCGTAGAAAAAAAACCATTTCCTATTTTCAGCATGTGAGTTGTTTTGTTTTGAAATTTATGTTTGCTAGTTGGTTTGAGTTTTTTAAAGACCTGTTTTCTCTTGCATTTTATTCCTATTTTAGTTATTTTACAAAAACCTTTAATATTTTATGCTATCAAGTTCTGATCATTTAATCAGTAATAAAATATTCCTCCCATTATTGCATTTTTTTTAACTTTTATTACTTAACTTTTTATGATTTTTTTACCTTGTGTATCTTCTAACTGAATTTCATGTAGTGATTATCTTTGAATAGTTAAAAGTGATTTTTTCACTTTCTTATCTTTACATTCTTTAACAAGATATAAACTTCCACGTTCAATTTAAAATACATTCTTATGTTTTGATTAATCAACCTATTTTGAATTTATATGGTAAATTAAAATTAATATTCTTTAAATTATATGTATTAGTTTTGGTAATATATCAAATTATAACATGACCTGTTTAGATACTTTTGATATCAAGTATCAACTGTGACATAAGATACAAATAACTTGTAAAATGGTGATGGTTCTTAATTATAATTTGTTGTCCTGTATTTATGAAATTTGTAAAAAAAACTATGTCTGTGTTGACGTTTTTCATATAAGGGAGGTAATAAACATTTTCCAACTTGAATTTTTTCATACATAAAGGCTTTAGGCCTGTATGGAGATTAGGAAACAATGCATGAATAGGGTTGGTGGAAGAAGAATGAAAAGTGTTTGACTATTTAGTATTGTACTTATCTAGAGTATGTCCACATGACCACATATGCTTGTTAATTTCCTATAATTAAGTATGTCTCTATTGCCCTATGTACAGGAGTTTGATTTCCTCTTGTCTTTCCAAAACCTTTATTGAAATAACTTATAACTTAATTGATTGAATTGATCTTGGAAGCAAGAGAATATTGAGGTTTTCCTAGTAGTGCTGAAATTTGAAGCTTGAATGGTTCTTGATACATCAACTGAGACACCGAAGAACCTTGTCATTTGTATATTAAGCTATGTATCAAGAGTAACTCACTCACATGTTACAAGCTGTTAAAACGTCTGCGAATGTGTAAATGCTTATTGAGCTTTGTGAGCGGATGCGTTAACTTGCATTAAACAATTATAAGCTCAAGTATTTGTACAAGAATACTGCATTCCAAGGAGTTAGTAAAAATTACCTCAATTAAATATCAAGTTTACTCACATTTTCACCAAAATCATGTTTTTCCTAAAGTTTTAAACTAAAATCGGTCTATAAAATTTGTTTCTTATAAAACAAATTTATCCACTGCCCTATCAGGTAGAATAACGTTTAAGTTTACTAATAGGACTTCAAATGTTTAACAAATGTGAGGTATAAATCTGAATTTTAATATACAAAGCCTGTTATGCATGGTTGGATAGGGGTTTTATCATCTTTCAAACATAGTACTTTAAACCCTTGATTCAAATTTGATAAAAGAAATTATGGAATTTTAAAATATTTATTACTCTTTTGGACACAAATTTACATCACAATTTATACAACATTGTTAGGTGGAGACCCTAAAAAACAAAATGTGCATAGGGTTTTATTTATTTTAAAAATCATATGCACCAATTACTGCACAACTATCAATTACTGCAGTTGATTCATTAATTTATAAAGGATTTTCTATTTTTCGTACATTCAGTTAACCGTCATAGGCCTGGTCAACAAGTGACATTCAATAGAGGTTTACCATCATAAATAGAAATTCGCTAATATATAAAAAAAGTGGTCTGAGGGATACGAACATAAAAATGGGTTACATCCATTAGCCTGGTGGAATGGTGAAATTATCTTATCAGCAAACTGCATCTAATTACAGGAATTTGATAACCACACAACACAAGAAATTATTGATGCATGTTGTCTTTTTTTCCATTGTCGACTGCCTTTAAATGAGAAACATGTAGAATAAAATATTTCTTTCAGCACTTTTCAATTTATATTTACACTAGTGCTGGAAACTCTTGCAAGACTTTCCATTCTCTCAGTCATCTTTTATGTATGTTTACAGCCTTGTAAATTTGTGCAGTCTTTGTGTGAATATATCTTAGAGTGTTAAGAGACTAATTCAATAATTAATGCATAATAACACCAAAACACAGCATGACCTCTTCCATTCAGCAAATATGTCAGTTGTCACTTCTGCACCCCTTCATGGGAAAATGATAGTCTGAACTAAATAACGACGTTTCAGTATCAAATGTCTGAAATATTTCATTTTGATCTTTAGCAAAATACTCTTTGTTTGATGTTTTTAGCATTTTTTTACTCCCTAATATTTTTTTTAAAAATATATCAATAATGTATTGCTTGCCACTGTAAGCAGAAACAATAATTCTTTTAAAATTAATAACAGACTTGTATGGTTATGGTTAATATGCTTATTTATAAGTGTAATTAAGCATGATTTTATGAATGGTGTGGTTAGCATGTAGATTGATTAAAATTGAAACTCAATTTGGTTGTGGGCCCAAGTCTTATTATTCACTTGTTAAGAGTACATTATGTTTATTACAATACAAATGTATTACTTGTTTGGTTTGGTTTAGATTCAGGCGCTATTAACTTTAATTCTAATTGATAAAAGGAAGTTATAAATACAATAATTTTTTACTTAAAATATTATTTTCAAAGTTTAACAACAACCAGAAAAGTAACAAGGTGATTAGTTTAATATATGTGATGTAGATGTAATGTATCAAGAGTATTTTCTTTTATGTAAAAGAAGTCATAAATCTATTTCTTAACTATCTATATTATTAATGTATCTATTGAAAGTAAATATAAGTGGTGATGAAGGTTTTTAATACTGCTTTTAAGAATCATAGGGAATATTTCCTCAGAATGATTGTTTATTTTTATGCAACAATTTAAAGTGTGTAGCCATTTTGGGGAAATGCCCATATTTTTCATCGATGACGTAATTATTAATCTACGCATACGAGGCATGAGTTTGTGAAACTTAAAAAAAAAAAATGTTGATGAACTTATTCGATGCCCATGAAAATTTGTAGTTATAATAAATAAATAAAATAAAGATAAAGGTAGTTATAATGAATATAATAGCTAAATCACAAGCCAAAAGATTATAATGCTGGTAGTTGATCTAAATTTCTACAGTATAATGTTTTGTGGTACTTCTATTATAAAGTTTTTTGTGAAAACCATTTTGTATAAACGGTTAAACATTTAAATAAACATAGTCAAACTAATTTTAAATAATTTAGAAAATAATTTTGGACGTTTTTAGAAAGAAAAAAAAACACTAAAAAGCCATAAGGGGTTGCCCTCAAACCCCAAAAATAAATATTAAATGCATTATTTTAACCATGCAATTTTAAAGTATAATAATAAAATACTCGTAATAGTGTTTGAGCGAGCATATAAAAAGAGTGTTCTGAAAACAATTTGACAAAATTAAATTTAATCAACAACGAAGAATAATTTAAATAATTGTGAAAAACTATTTATTAATTGTAAAAGCAAATTAGTGTTATCTTTGATTTAGAGTAAAGACCTTACTCTTGACTATACCCACTGTTAACATTGAATCAATATGGTTTGATTGAAACATGAACACTTGTTCATGTGTTAATTGACAGAAATATTTGAGCAACTATCCAACAGCTAATTATACTGAGGACTCCTTGTGTGGATAATCGTAAGGTATTTGTTGCTCAATTATATTTTCACAGGGTTTTTTAGCCCTGACAACTCATTTTAGAAATTGGAATTTTAAATAAAATTTCCACTCAGACAACAAAACTTGTTATCAATGGTAAGTTCAATAAGGGTTTGATCATCTACAGTAGAACCCCTCATATCCAACCACTTCTCCAAAGCCAATATCGAAACGTATTTCAGTAGGCCTATCCTCTAAACTGTATGTCAATTATTTCCAGTGCGGTTAGTATAGAACAGTAATTGTTTTGTATGTAAAAAAATGGACAATCAAGTGTTGCCAAAATTTACGGACTAATCAGGAAAAAAATCTGTAAAGCCAATTTATTGTAAATATGTTATAAATATATCCATCTTTATTTAACATGACTTTAATTTGTCTGAGTTTATGATATTTTGTTTGTTAAATAATTAATCAACCAGTTGACTATATCAAAATAAATTTTCTATTGGTTTTAAAAACATGTGTTTTCCTAAAAAATAATCCCAAAAGAGACTTAAAAACTACTTTTCACTAACTCATGGTTATTAGGTACACATTTTTGTTTTTACAATGCTATCTACTGGGGGTCAGTCCCGTTGTGGCCGAATATGAGGGTTTCCGCTGTATAAGGAAACACTTAACAATATTTAAAAATTCACTATGTATCCTTATGACAACAAATCAATAGGGAGTTGTAAAGCGTTTTTGAAAGTAAATTATTACATTAATCAAATATCATTATCAGTTGTTGGACATCACATATTATTTTTGTTGTTCATTTATTTATTTATGTGTTTATGCTTTTTTATGTTATATTTTTATTTGTTACTAAAGATAGTAAAATATTTAGACGGTCGCACCTGCATCTCGAAAAGCTGGAAAACGGAAAGCAAGCGTAGAACAGAACGGGGAACCTGTGCCGGCCAGGAGAAGATGTTTGAGAATCTTTAATGACTTCCCCGTGGAGACACCAGAGCCCTCTGCCTACAACCAGGTACAACAGTTAAACACTAAGATCCCTATCTTTTTAGCTGGAACTCTGTTTCCGCAAACATTTGCAGGCAATTGAAATTAAGTTATGTTTCAACATTTAAATGTTTCCGTAACTTAGTTGCAGGGTTATTTCATTTCCTTTTTAAAGTTGGCAGCCTACCATAATCTCACATTTGCTACATGTGCCTCAAAGGCCTGTACGTAGGATGTTTTGGCAAGATGTGAGCCAATGACAAGAATGAACAGTACCAATAAATTTTAATAATTTGATCATACCCAAATGTTTGCCCAAACTTTTACATTCTGTCGCACTTCCAACTGAGCCGATAACTCCTCATAATTGTATCCAAGTTCAGTGATTGAATTTTTCTGTAATTAATTTTGAAGAAATTTGAATTGAGTCTCTTACCTGTTCCAGAGACTAAAACTAAGTATAAAAAATGTTAATCAAGTTTAGTTAATTTTTTCTTAACTGGAACAGCTTGTTATGTAACAATTAAATTTCGCTGCTTCAGATGGGCAGGTTAGAATAGGAGGTAATGGTTTGAGCGTGCGGTTTTCTGATTGCCATTTTTTGGACATGCATGTGGTTTTAATGTCATGATATCGAGTCACAGCGTAGGCCTATTATACGCTTATGAGGCCAATTGTAAGTTGTGGAAACAAGTTTGACTGCAATATGTTCACATATTTTAATCCGATGGAAGCAAAATTGCGGCGTATGATTGGAGCTTTACTCTGGGGTGTCTTGAGAGGTTACGACTTTACTAATGCAAAAATCTTCAATAGTACTCTCCTGATTTGCTTTAGTCCAATACTTTTGGGGAATTAATCATAACAATTCAAAACTTGGGTTTAACTTAAGTTAATAAATTGATTAAACCCTTTTCTGTGACCCGAAATATGTCTTTAAGGTTTTTTACAAAATAAAGTTACAGGTGCAAGGCTTAGCTAGTTTTCAAAATTAAACAAAAGTTTAAATCAATTCTGAAGAATGTGACTTCAGAAGCAGGACACTTCAAATGTTGTTACAGAAACTAAAATTTATTTTTAATGATAGTAGCATAGAATTGCATCTTTTTACGAATGTGCAATAATAATTACTGGTCCAATTATTAATTATTGCTTGTCAAAGTCATATTCAGTTGATTAGTTTAGAATGCTGGAAAAATCTGTTTGTATTTGTTTCCAACATAATACACTTTAAAGAGTCTCATTTCTTATTGTTTAGACTTTACGTAAGTTTATGCTTTTACACTGCTATACAGGGTCATCAACGCAAGGAGGCCAACATTGGGATATCGTAATCGTTAAGAATTAGAGACAATTTTAAATGGAGGACATTTAATTTTTTTGTGGCAGTTAACCCTTTGAGGTCGAATTTTTTTCAATTTTTTGACGAGTATAGTTTGCCATTCGAGCAGGCAGGAAAATGGCGCCCGGCGACCTATACTCTCCATTTAACCGCAAAGATAAACTTTTTTGATTTTTTTGTTTGTATTGGTCGCTATTTTTGATTAGTCGGAAAAATGGATATAAATTAAGTTTTTTGAAATTTCTTATGGAACACTATATACATGATCATGTTTTCAGATAGAACATGCAGCTTTAAAACATTTTATCCTTGACATTTTTTCTATAAAGCTACTCGTTTAGGAGTTACAGCCTAAGAAAAAATTACTTACACTGTGTACATTTGACATTTTTTATTTACTCTTCACATTTTCGCTATAAACTTACTCATTCAGGACTTAAATGATGCAAAATGTACACAGGAAGTCATTTTTCCTTAGGCTGAAAAATTTCAAGAATAAAAACGTTTTTAAATTGCATATTCTATCCAAAAACATGATAAAATATAGGGTGTTCCATAAGAAATTTCAAAGCTGGCCACACCATATTGTAAAATGGCGGCTCAATTTTGAAAAACTAAATTGATATTTTTAACTGCCATAAAAAATAAAGGAATATCCCCAATTTAAAGTTGTCTCTAATTCTTACGGTTTCCCATATCCCAATGGGGGCCTCCTTGAGTCAATCACCCTGTATTTTACTCTATAAGTATTTTACAAAACCATTTTTTCAATATTTCAACAACATATTGTGTTGAACGTTGTCTAAAAACTTAAAGGGTAGCCTTTACAAACTCGAAAAGATAAAAAAATATTGTCCACCATTCATATTTTTATATTTGTTATATTTGTATGTAGCTTTGCAATTTCTTCTTCTTTACCAGTGAACCTTGAGACACCCTGGAGAAACATTAAATGGTAATCTTGTACATTTAGAATTATGTCAGTGACTGCCGCCATATTTTTCACTTGATGCAGAAAACTCAATTCCTCATTTATTCTTAATCGTTTCAACGTGTTGGTTACAATTTAATGACAGTTTTTTCAACACATAGTGTACGTGGGTTTTTTAAATGAAGATCACCATCAGGCTCTTTAGGCCCAGCGCACACGGTGTGACTGTTTTACAACAACTGTTGCAAACAAGTTGCACCTGAAACCAGTTTGCAACTGAAACAAAACTTCTGTCCGCACACAGTGTGACTGTTTTACAACTACAGTTGCGTCTATTGTGCAATCAGTGGAGTGTCAATTTAGTGTTGTTACGTTGTTTTAAGGCCTTAAGTGCGTTTACTATGTCAGTCTCAGACGAAGAAGACGCTATTAGCTATTATCAATACCGAAGACAGCGAAGGGTACTGAGAGAGCATTGGGTTCACCCTTATTTGAGCAAGAATGTTAGTACTATGTTGTTTGTAGCAGGTAGAGCTAGTCGGATAGGAAATTATAAACACTAAAAACACTATACGGCTGTCAAAATACCAGCAAACACCACAAAACACCCCGTGGTCTCGTGCAACTAAAGTCTGCAACGCAACTGCAACGTCGGGCCCACGGTTGTATGCAACTGGTTTCAAATATTTTTTGAAATCACATACAACCAGTTGCGTTTTGTGCGCTTCCCCACTGCAATACATTGCCGAGGTCACAAAACAGTTGCACTCGCAACTAGTTTGCAACGAATGTTGTAAAACAGTCACACCGTTTGCGCTGGGCCTTACGCTACCGAGCTAGCTAGCTCAAATCATTTATGCTCCTGTCAAGTATGAATTGTGTTCTTGAACCATGTCGAGCTGGTTGGAGATGCAGGTATAACATTGGTAAAGGCGGTAGCCTCTGATAGTTTGAGGGATACAGTGTTATTTATATCTCTTAACAAGCTTTTTGTAGCATTATTAGTTTCAATTATTTACTGTTTATTTTTTAATTTACTTTCATTTTTTTATAGTTCTGTTTAGTTAATTTATTGTACTTTCTCAGTTTTCGTTTGTTCATCTGAGTTTGACTGATGAGACATTAACTGTTGCTGATCTGAACTATTACAAAGCCAAGATTTTTGGTTACTGTATTATAAATAGCAACGTCTTTACATATATCATCCATTTATTTGATTTTTGGTGCAGATGTATCATATCAAACTATACATTTAGAAAATATATACTTTAATTATAAAATGCTACTTAAATAATATCAATTAATGAAGATTAAAGGTTTTACTATGAAAGCAATCTGTTGCAGGCTAGTTGATTTACTACAATAATTTCAGTCACAACATTTTTAGTTTAGTTTAAAACTTGAGCATTTAAATTTAAATTGAGAAGAAAATGTAATTGAGCCTAAGATTAACTAATGATCGCTATGTGTCAATATTAACTTTGCAGATGAAAAGACAATAATCTTACTCTGTGCTTACTGGTAGCCGCTTACCATACCGATTTTGTACCTAGAACCGAGTTACAATATATTCATTCATTATGCATTACAGATTTTTTTCAAAAGTAGTCGAGAACCTAACGTTGTGCCAGGGCGAATAATGCCAAATTAATCCGCCTGGATCGGATAAGCTATGTTATGATGTTTCCGTGACCGATGGAGATATTTAGGATTTTGTCGCTATTGCAGGAGACAATGATTGCGTTTTTCTGTTACACTATTAAAGCTGTACCTAAAGTATATGTTTGTTTACTTTCAATAAGTTTCTATTTTGAAATTTAATTCTTGTCTATTATTATTTACTTTTCTCTCTGGAACAACTACAATGAAGAACAAGATTAATACAGTTTGACAAATCAGGAATATTATTCTGTTATCACACCGACAAAAGTCCTTAAATGTACGGGAATTGTCCATGAATTTTTTATCCAGAATGTAGTAGACACCCTGTTATTGTTGTTATTATCTGTATTATTTCAAACGTCAATGTCATTTGGACAAATTTTAACCCTTATCGCGCTGTAGATGAATATACTCGCCAAAATTCCCTTTGCTCAAAACACTATGGACGACTATAGTCGCCTTTTAATACAGAGTGCATTGGCTGGTCTTGGTAGTTCCCAGTTTTGCCGATAGAGCACAGCAGCTATATGGGAACATCTCTTGTGGTGGAAAATCACTATAATAACGTTCCCCACCCTCCAGTTGTTTAAAATGGCGGCGTGCTACACTTGCCGGTCCCTGCTATGAGAGACGGCAGCGCTGTGGACGGACTAACTCTCAAGTGGTTAGTTCACTTGCAGACTCCGCAGGAACTTTGTTCTCCGATGCTTTCGTCATTATATTGGTTTTATTGTTGTTGTATTATTATGATTATCAACAAAAAAATCAGCTTTGACTTTTGGGGAAAATATTTTTTTAGCTTTACAGTCAAGGCCATCCAACATATCTGTAGCTGGGTAAAGGCCTATTTTGCTTGGAGCGACTGTAGCGATAGTCGCACAGCGATTATCGCTCAGCTACTATCGCTGATGCGGCGGCCGTTTTGCTTAGAGCGATTGATTTTCGGTCGCCAAGCGATTTTTCATAGTTAGTTAAATACCAGCACTCACAATGGTGAAGTCATGAGTACGTGTTGTAAGTCATTAAAGTATTTCCTCAGTGAGGAATTAGGAGACGAGGCTCTACTCGACCCTAGTGGAAGTATCAATGGACGATCGATAGAAAATACATAGTGATACGTAGGATTTGGGACGGATACGTATCACTAGAGGTCACTAGATAGGATATAAATAGAAAACTGTAGTGATATCAATGAAAAAATACATATATTTATATCAATAAAAAATAGTGATATCGCTAAGAGTACATGAATGTCAGAAAATAAAACCTGGAGTCTAAATTTAAAAAAAAATTTATTCATACAAAAACTGACACAGTATTAACGCCCACACTACGTAAATAACACATAACAACTTGGAACAGTCAAGCATTTTATATTTAAATTTGAATAGACGTGGATTACCTTAAAAAATTTAAACACAACCATTTGAGCAATGACATTGCAAAGTTTGCTGGAAATAAAGAGTCGCCTGTTTCTTATAAAATTTAATGTAGAAAATGAAATTAATGTGTAAGGAAATATAATCAAAACAGTAAAATCGTAACAGCACATGAATAGAAAAATTACTGTGAACAAAAAAGTAAATTATGGTAAATTTAACCCCTATTATCTGCCTACTGAGTGAACTGCACTGTTTTGAAGTTCTGCGCACAGTCGCGGCGCGATTATCGCTCAGACTGGTCCTCGGGGCAGTGGTCCGCGACTGTAGCTAGCGACTCTTGCGATAGTCGCTCCAAGCGAAACAGGACAACGCAAACTCCGTCAGAGCAGTGCCCGGCTACTATCGCGGAGCGATTATCGCCACGCAACTATCGCTGCAATCGCTCCAAGCAAAATAGGCCTTAAGGGTTAAAGCTGCTTGTCGCTTTTGTGGCACGAAACAGCCGTAATACAATTTAACCGTAACAAATAATTTGGGAATAAATGCAGGTATTTTAAAAACCTAATTAAAAATCATATCCTAAGATTAGGTGAATAGGAAAAATATGGACGTCTAAAGATACTTCTTCTCCCTGTTGTCATTATAAAAGGAACAACATCAATCTAATAATATGTCGGCGGTGATTCGTGACATATCTTATAAATACCAACGAAACAGTCTCCGACTATAAAGCTGTGGAATT